ACAACTGGCATCCCAGCTCCACCAGGAACATCGCTGCCTTTCCATCCTGTTCTGTGGTGACAATATTCCCAGCCCTGGCCAGTTCCAGGCCACCATTGTGTAGTTAGCCAGCCCCCAGGATTTCTCCAGAATTGGGCAGTCACCCAGCACCCTATCAGGGTGCCCCCAGAGTGTCCACTCAGCCCATGTTCCCACCGACCTGGAAGAATGTTCCACTCTGCCCTTGCTGTCACCTCACACCCAGCCAGGTGTCCGAGGCCGACCCTCCGGGTGTGACTGGTTCTAGCAAGAACTGGGGACCGGCCGTGCTCTAGGGCTTACCCTTCAGCTCCTGCGGGGTCGACTTGGTGGCTACAGCTCAGGGAGCAAGCTGGCCGCTCTGGGGGCTCCTTGCTCTTTACAGTCTGAGGGTTTCTTATGTCTACAATCAAACCCGTGTGCCACCTTCTCAGGAAGGTTTCTCTAAATGTCCCTCTTTCTGTCATTCTCACCCACGTTCCTCCACTGACTTGGGGTCACAATTCCCCTGCCTTCTGTAACTCCAGCTCATTCATTCCTCCGAGTCAAGGCAAGCACCAGGCAGAGCCTTTGGCCCTTCCCGAGGAGGGCACAGTCCCCTCCACCGTACTCCTCCCCTGCTGCCCTTCAGCTCCTCCCGTGGTTTCTTTGCCCTCCGGCTTTTCCCTGTCCACACGGTCGCCTGACCCTCTGCCCCAGCCCATGAGCCTTCTGTGGCAGTTTCGAGCGCTCCACCTTCGGCAGCCCGAGCCTCCCGCAGAACTCAGGGCTGCAGGCTTGCTGGCTTCTTCCTGCCGGTGCCTCCAGCCACTGGGACGGGACCGTCTCCTTCTGCGATTTGGTGTGACATCCCATCTGGGCTGCTCATTTTTGTCTTTGGCGGTGTCTCTGTAACAGCTTTGAGACGTAATCTACATGTCATGCAGTTCGCCCATTTAAAGTCTGCAATTCAGATTTTTCCAGCATTGCTAGGGATTGAACCCAGATTCTCTGTGTGCCCGGCAAGTATTCTACTAGGGAGCTGTATCCAGATGTGCAGCCATTACCACAGTCATTTTACACACTCTCACACAGAGGTTTTTATATATATATGTATATAATTTAGAGACAGGGTCTTGCTTAGTTGCTTAGAACCTCACCAAGTTGCCGAGGCTGGCCTCCACCTTGCGATCCTCCTGCCTCATGAGCCGCTGGGATCATAGGTACACACCTCCGTGCCCGGCCACTACAATAATTTTTATAACATTTTCACCCCCTATCCCCAAATATCCTTACCCTGTAACTATCAGCCCCGCCCCTCATTTCCCTAAGCCCAGGTAACCACTAATCTACTTTTTCTACCTAGAGAATTGCACAGTCTGGACATATATAACTTACCGCATAGGTGTGGCCTCTGGATCTTATGTCTTTAACCTGGCAGCGTGTTCTCAAGGGCCATCCACGACGTGGCATGCATCAGTATCTTCATTCCTGTTCATGACCGAATAGTATTCCTTGTCTAGAGACACTTCATTTTCCTTATCCACTCATCAGGTGATGGACATTTGAGTTGTTTCCTTCCTGGCCATCATGGGTAATGCTGAGACAAATATTAGTGTGCAAACTCTTGTTTGGACATGTTTTTGTTTCTCTCTGATATTCAGCTAAGAGTGAATTGCTCTAGGTTTAATCTTTTATCGAACTTCCAGACTGTTTTTCCGTAGTGGTTGATCCATTTTATATTCTGACCAGCAGTGTATTAGGGTTCTGATTTCTCTACATCTTTGCCACCACTTTTTGTTTTGACTTCTTTTGGTACCAGGGACTGAACCCAGGGGCCCTTGACCACTGAGCCCCATCCCCAGCCCTATTTTTGTATTTTATTTAGAGACAGGGTCTCCCTGAGTTGCTTAGTGCTTTGCTTTTGCTGAGGCTGGCTTGGAACTCGTGATCCTCCTGCTTCAACCTCTCAAGCCAATGGGATGATAAGTGTGAGCCACCACACCCAGCTCTGGCCTTGAGAGAGACACACACAACACACACACACACACACACACATATATTTTTGGGGGGTTGTCAGTGAACTTTATTTATTTATATGTGGTGCTGAGGATCGAACTCAGTGCCTCACATGTGCTAGGCGAGTGCTCTACCACTGAGCCACCACCCCAGCCCTGGCCTTGAGTTTTCAATTCTAGCTCTCTCAGTGGATGGAAATGGCTTCTTGTTGTGGTTCAATTTTACATTTCTCTCATGACAGATGATGCAGAGCTGCTTCAGGACATTCTGTTCAGGTCCTTTGCCCAGTGTTCAGTCAGTTTCACGTGACTATAACGAAATACTTGAGATAATCAACTTATGAAGAGGAAATGTTCATTCTGGCTCCCAGTTTTGTATATTCTCTTCTGTGATTGGTTCCGGTGGCAAGGGTGTCACATTATGGTGGGGCATGTGGTGGGGCAGATGGTTCCTATCATAAGCCAGGAAGCAAAGAGGAAGAAGAGGAGCTTGCGATCCTGCAGTACCCCTTAAGGGCAGAGTCCCTGACCTAAGGACCTCCTGCTGCCCAGGCCCAAGGCCTCCCCTTTGGAGAAACTTATCCAGACCACCACAGCACCCATTTTTTAAAATTAAAGGGTTTTTTCTTTTTTTTTTTAATCATGAGTTGTGTGAATTTTTAGGTATATTCAAGATAAAATTCCTCTTCAGGTATTTGATTTGCAAATATTTTCTCCCATCCCGTGGGTTATCTTTCTAGGTGCTTGGTTGTGTCTTTGGATAAGCAAACCTTCACACTTGGGTGAAGTTTGCTTTTACCTTTGGGGGCATTTTTAAGGTGATCTCAATGAAGTCTTCAAGGCTTACCCCCGTCTCCTGGGAAGAGTCGTCATTTTAGCTCTTACTTTTAGGTCACTGAACTATCTTGAGTTGGTTTTTGTGGCTGGTGGAAGGTGTGGGTCCAACTTTACTCTTTGGCACAGGGAGTAGGAAGTTGTCCCCACCCCATTAATTGAAGAGGCTGTTCTTTCCCCACTGAATTCTCTTGGCTCTGTTATTCCGTTTCTGTTACTATAATGAGATGCCTGAGAATGGAGACTTACAGCGAAAAGAGGTTTCTTTAGATTACAGTTTGGAGGTGAAAAGTCTCAGAAGCATAGTGCCACTCCACCTGGCTGTGTCACCTCATGGCGGATGGCATTCTGATGGCAGGGAGGTGTCAGTAACCAGCTCCCACTAGTCACCACCTCTTCAGGGTCTCATCTCCTGTAACAGCACTGAGCTGAGGACCCGACTTCCAACACTCGAGCCCCAGGAGACAAACTCAAGCCCTATCCAGGCCACAGCAGGATCTTATTGAAAATCAGGGGATCGCTTATGTATGGATCCATTTCCTAGCACCAAATTCTCTTTATTGATGTACACGTTAGGTTTTGTCTTGTTCTGTATCATTAATTAGCTATTTGGTTGGTATACATCCTAAATACTAGAGGGACCTCTATAGTGTTTAGTTACCAAAGAAATATTGGTGGTAAAAAAATTAAAACACAAACATAAGGAGGGGAGAGGGGACAAAGACACAAGAGGGCCAGAAGTGAAGCCACACCTGAGCAGCCCCTCCCTCCTCCCCCTGAGAGCTTGGGTAGGTGTCCCCCTGGGTCCTGCTCTGAGCAGATCCCAGTCTCATGCCCGTGTACATACGTGAAAATTCACACTTGCCTTTGTAAATGTGGATATGCATAGACCACACTCAGCTAGATTTCTGTGTTTTCTGCTTTTTTTTTATAGCTGTGTATATCTTTTATAAAATGGAGACCCATACATCCCATACATCCTTTTATAAGAGTATACAAGTCTTGCCTCCTTTTCAGGGGGCTAGGGATTGAACCCAGGAGTGCTTTATCATTGAATCCCCAGTCCTTGTTGTTTTGAGGTCTCACTGGGTTGCAGAGGGTCTCACCAAAATGCCGAGGCCAGCCTCAAACTCGCGATCCTCCTGCCTCAGCCTCCCTAGTTGCTAGAATTACAGGCATGCGCCACCGTGCCCGGCTCATTCTTTTTTAATGAATCTATAACACTTCATAGAATGTGTGCCCTCTGGTTTCTTTAACCAGTTGTTTATCTTGGAAGTTTAGGGTTTTCCTGGTTTTTTCTCTTCGTCCCCATGTCACAGTGAACATCCCGGCACATGCCTTCGTGTGCCCAGGGGAGTACTTTTCCTGGTTAGCTCTCTAGAAGGAGAATTGCTGATCATATCTTTTGTCTTACCGTCGTTTTTAATGCCTTCCCCTCCACTGTGCTTTATGATGCCTTGTGCACATTAGGCACTTAATAAATATTTACTGAAGTGAACTCTTAAGGGTCTTTAGCCTGGATTTATCCCTCGCTCGCCGTTTCATCTTGGTAAACTGTTTACAGCCCCCTCATGCCTGTTTCACTGGCCTGAAAATGAATGAACGCGTTGGTGATCCAGCGTTCATTAGGGGAACTAAGGTGAAGTGAGTCGGGAAGCGTTTTGATTCTCTGCTGGTGGCCCTGGAGGGGACATGGGGGTGAATGAGCTGCAGACCCTGAGGGAGAAGCCCCAGTCCCCTGGACGTGGCCGGGAGGGCGCCTGGAGAAGGGGCCCCGGGCTGCCCCTAAAGGAGCATGCGTGCAGCCTGGACAGGTAGAGATGAGCCAGGGCGGGAGGCGGGGGTGGCGCTGGCTCAGAGGGACAGCAGAAGTGCCATCAGAGTGGGGAGGAAGGACTCAAGCCGCCAAGATACAGTGTGGACACAAGAGCGACAGAGCCTGGGGGGACAGCGTGGTTTCCTGGCGTCCAGACAGGCTTGGCGTGGGTCTGCTGGGCAGGGGACCAGCGGAAGAGGTTTTGGAGAACTGTGCTATTGGAGAGGGTCTTGAGGAAACCGTGTTCAGGAAATTCCAGGAGCGAATAAATGGGAGCCTTGATTTCCAGACGTTTCTGTGATAGCAATGTCTCTCCCATTCCTCCCTTCTCGCAGCTGTCTGAGAATGTGGTGAACCGCATGAAGGATCCCTGCCAGCCTTTAGACTGCCAGCAGCCCAGCCCTCCATACTGCACGTGCACCCCTGCAGAAGGTGGCTCCAGAGCCCCTCCGAGAGGTATGGGGGATGCGGGGGTTCTGGGGAGGCAGGGGGCTGAGGTGTGACAGAGGGCATGTTTGTTCCAGCACATTCCGCTCCCCGTGAGGCTCGTGCTTGCTTCTGGGGGACGTGGCAACTCCGCTCTGCTCCTGCGTTCCAGGACAGTGTGGCTTTCCTGGTATGACGGACCTGACGTGGGTGCCAGCCTCAGCAACCTAAGTCTCAAGTCGAGGGATCCTGTCCCAGTCCTTGGGATGGCTCACCCTTGGGCTTCTAAGAGAGGTGCTGGGCCTGGTGCAGTGGCACACGTCTGTCATCCCAGTGCCTTGGGAGGCTGAGGCAGGAGGATCATGAGTTCAAAGCCAGCCTCAGCCAAAAGCAAGACCCTAGACAACCAGCGAGACCCTGTCTCTAAATAAAATATAGAAAGGGCTGGGTTGGGGCTCCGTGGTCGAGGGCCCCTGAGTTCAATCACAAATAAGGGGAGGGGTCCTAAGAGTTTCTGTCCACTAACCCACTGTGGTGGTGGTGGTGGTGCTGTCCCTGCCCTGTCCTGCCCTGCTGTGCCTGTTAATAGCGACTTGTAGCAAACACAAAGACACAAAAAAGTACTAAGTACAAAAATATTCAGAGACCACCAACTAAAAAGCCCTTAGAGCACCTGCCATTCTGCTCAGTAAACACTCGCTCACGAGAATCTGGGTCTGTCGCCTAGAACTAGGTGTTTCCCTTTAAAAGTCAATGGGCTGGAGGAGCCACACCCCAACAGACGGCTGCACCCCATTCCAAGCAGGGCCCAGCGCCTGGCCTCGAAGTGCTGTGTCCATCCGCCCTGCTGACCTTCCCTGTGGGGTTGTGAGAATTTAGAAGCAGGAGCTGAATCTCACCCAGTCATTACTTCCCAAGTGTAAGCCAGGACGCAGCACGGGGACATGACCCCTCTCTGTGGACCCCAAGGAGAATCGGGACGGGAGGAGCCTCCCTGAGGTCAGGGTGGCACTGACAGCCAAGCCCAGGCTGGATCCAGAGTCTGCCGTCTGCCCACCTAGAAAAGTAGGCAAACGATGGAAAAAGGAGAAACGAACTCTGTGTCATTTGGTGGAACTCTGTGTCATTTGAGGAGGAGCAGCTGGCTGGCTTCTCTGCAGGTCCCACAGAAGCAGCTGTGATTTATAGAAACAGAAGCTACGTGTAGACTGGAGTAGGCTGGGTTCCGCAGAAACCCGTGACGGGGCTGGCTGGGGCTCAGGGCAGAGCGTGAGGCCCTGGGTTACAGCCTGAGCACACATACAAATGAATATATAAATAAATGTTATTGAGAAGAAAAAAAAGAAACATGTTACCGTCATAGGTTCCCTCAGTGCCCCTCAGGGTCAGGGTGCAGCTCCTCAGCCTCCATGCTCAGCAGGAGGAAGTAAAAGCAGTTATCAGGAAGTTGTACAGGATGCAAAGAGCAGTTTCATGCATTTGAAAGGGACCTGTTCCACAGGGTGGTGCAGAGCAGGCTCCTCACTGCAGGGAGGGGCTTCCTCCATTGGGGAAGATGGAATAATGGTGAGCGGGATTCACAGACAGGGGCAACAGGAACAGAAACATCAAGGTGTGGCACAGCCTTGCCCTTTGGGGATTCTAGAAATAGTTTGCTAGCCATGTGCGGTAGCCAAGACTAATCCCAGAGGCTTGGGGAGACTAAGGCAGGAGGTTCCCAAGTTCAAAGCCAGCCTCAGCAACTCTGGGAGGCCTCGAGCAACTCAGTGAGGCTCTGTTTCTGAATAAAATATAAAAAAGGCCAGGGTGTGGCTCAGTGGTAGAGCGCCCCTGGGTTAAATCCCTGGTACCAAAAAGAGAGAAGTAGTTTGCTGCAATTGGAATACAAAGTACCAAGAGGGGAAGTGTTGGGGTGTTGTTTGGGGACCAGGCTGTAGACACCGCCACACAGTGGTCAGAGAGCCCCAGCTTCATCCTCAAAGCCTGGACGCAGAGCCAGGTGTTGGGACTCCTCCCCTGCGTTTCTGCCCCTGGGCTTTCTGCACCCCCTAGAGCAGGTCAGTGCCTGGATTGGCCCCACCTGAGATCTTTTTGAAAAGGCTAGGGGGATTCCCAGAACCCCACCAGACACTTTTATCCTTGACCCAAAAGACTACTGCACAGTATCTATAGCTCATGGGGGGGGGGGAGTGGAATCCAACTTGACCCCGGGGCTTTAATAAGCTGGGTTCACAGGTGAGCGGGAGAAAGGGACGGAAAAAGGAAAAACTGCCAAAGTCCGACACGTGTCCATTTGAGCTTTGATAGGTAAAGGAAGCATTTACTTCCATCTTAAGTTTTAGCCGTAGAAGAAGGCAGAATCATGACTGGTGATTGACTTTCACGATGACAACACGCTTTGCGGTTGAAGTGATGGGTGTGACACTGTCAGGGCGTCCAGCTCCTGGGTGTCCCAAATGCAGAACCGAGCAAGACACAAGTACCTGGCAGAGTACAGATCAGGTGAAGGTGAAAGTAGCACTCCGTCGGGTAGAGCAGGGTGGCCGAGCAGGGAGGCCGAGTCCCCCACCCCACCCCCTGGAAATCCCGTCTTTCATGCTGCGCTGTGAGGCCGTCTCTTCCCCTGCTGGTCCTGAGTGAAGACCTGGCCCCTTTGCTCCCATTGGTCACCTTATGATACCTGATTTGAATATGTCCTCCCCATTGGTTACTTTAGAAGACCTCATCAGAATACTACCCACTTGGTCATTTTAAAATAGGGAAGCTGAGGCAGGAGTTGTCTTGCTGATAAGTCCTTAGTGGAGGGAGTTGTCATGGTGATGGGACTTACCCTAAACAGGGTCATGACTTGTGTCCCTCTCTTGTCCTCCTGCGGCATCCTTATACCCTGCCTCTGCCGCCGTGCTGTCCGGGAACTCGTACCTGACAGGTGTGTGCTCTGATGCTGGAGAAGCTTCGGCATAAATGGGCAGTTTGGAGGTGGCCCCGTTTAAGATTTCTTTTACTACTTTTGTTTCTTTTCGGTACCAGAGATTGGACCCCACCAGGTGCTTTGCCACTGAGCCACATTCCCAGTCCTGTATTTTGAGGCAGGGTCTTGGCTAAGTTGCTGAGGTCGATCTTGAATTTTGATCGTCTTACCTAAGCCTCCAAGTTGCTGGGATCGCAGAAGTGTGCCACCACGCCCGGAACGATATCTTTCTCTTCTAAAACTAATCTTTTGCTTTATTTAAGTGATAGAACAAGTTTAGAACAGGAAGTTAAAATTAAATTCTTATCTCATACTATACCCCCAAATAATGTCAGCCTAAAGGAAAGATGTGAGTACAAGACATGAAACCGTAAAAGTGTAATAAAAGAGATTTTTCTAAGTACTACATCACATGAAGAAACCTTAAATTAAGAAGAAAAGGAGAAAATTGACTAGAAGAAATCAGAGGCAATTTGGGGAGGGACAAATCCCTCCCAAACAAAGGACAAACTAGGGGACATTTGACAAATGCCAAATTTGGGCATGAGGGTGTTCTGATTTGCTTATGAGATGTCTTCTCTAAAAGTCTCCTGGGTTCCTGCAGGAATGTTGGAAGTGAATGATTGGATGAGGAGGACCGTGATCTCATCAGCCCCTCCTAGTTGGGGTGGGCTGGGTGGTAACTGTGGGCAGGTGGGCTGTGGCTGGAGGAGGGCGTCCCTGGGGCTGTGCCCGGGAAGGATGCGTCTTCCTGCAGCCCCCTGCTTCCTGGCTGCCTGTGTGCACAGTTTCCCTCTGGGGCCCTTCCGCCATGATGCTCTGCCTCACCTGGGCCCAGAGCGATGGAGTCGGCCCACCACGGACTGAACCTCTATGAGCCACAATAACTCTTCCTCCTCCACGTCGTTCTTATCAGGTGTTTGGGTCTCAGTGATGAGAAGCTTTCTACCACAACCAAGTACTAGGAATACCCGAAGAGTTCACAAAGACTTTTTTAAAAGAGAGCTCATTAGGAAACGTGCACAAATGGCCAACTGTATGTATGACGAGACTTTGAACTTCGCTAATAACTGAAAACACAAATATCCACTAATGCCTGCGACCAAGGGAGCAGGAAGTTGGCAGGCTTCTACAGGCAAGGCAGCAGCGTGGCTGAGTGCCACCTTCTCTGCAGCGGGGACGTGGATTGGTTTTTAATTTTTAAAAAAGGAAAATTATATCAAAAGCAAAAATAATTTACAACTCAGTGAAGCTGTTGATATCAACAGAATGGGGAGCATGAATGTCAAAACAAGACCCCAGCGCACGGTGCTTAGTTTTTATTCTCACTGGATGACCTGGCATGGTCCTGAGGAGCACGCACAGTGGCCTCTATTGAGGCTGGATCCATGTGCCGTGCTGTGTCATGGTGGAGAAGGTGCAAGTCATGGGCACTTGGAAAAGCGTACCCTCACAGGGACCCGACAGGTCTCCATGTGGAGCCGCAGCCCCTCGCCTGTTCCTTACCCCGTCTGGGCCGCTCTAGCCACTGGTGCAGTGAGACCCTGCGAGGGAGGGCAGAGCACCGGAGAAGCCCCCAGAAAGCTGCCGAGCTCCGGCTGAGGGTTTGGGAAGGATGAAGACTTGAGGCAGGGGACAAGGGACAGAACTGCAGCAGAGACAGTAAACTGCAATTGCTCAAAAATCCCTGAATACTCCCAGGGGCCCAGGAGGCTGAGGCAGGAGGACCGCAGAGTTGAGGCCTGCCTTAGCAACTTAGTGAGACTGGGTCTCAAATAAAAACTAAAAGGGCTGGGGCTGTTGCTCAGTGGTTAGCGCCCTGGGGTTCAATTCCCAGTACCAGAAAAAAATAAAAAATTTCAAGTATAAATATAAATTATATAAATTTCCATCAGGAAAGGTAGACCTGCTTTGACAACTTACAGAGCCCAACATGACGAGAAGTGATGCAGGTTCAAGTGTAACCAGGGTTAGGTGGGGCGCTTGCCACACTCAGGATTGGAAATCTGTAGAATGGGATATTGTTTTAGTCTGTTTTCTGTTGCTGTAACTAAATGCCATACACTAGGAAATTTATAAAGAAAAACATTAATTTCTTACAGTTCTGGAGGCTGGGAAGTCGAAGGCATTTGGTGAGGGTCTTCTTGGTGAGGCGGTCCTGTAGTTCTGAGGTGATGCGGAAGTTGAGACAGAGCAGGGGTGCTAGCCCAGGTTCTCTCCCTCTCCTCATGAGCCACTGACTCCCTCATGGGCCCCCCAGCACCTCACCTGCTCCTACCTACTCCAGCGGCTCCACCTCTTAATGCTGCTGGTTAGCCAGCTCTCCCGTCATGGTGGCCAAACTGCCTGACAACAATAGCTCAGGGGAGGAGAAGTTCGTCTTGTCTGATCCAGGAGGCAGAGAGACAGCAAGGAGCCAGGGACAAATGCCATCCCCCAGGCCCCATCCCCAGTGACCTCCTGCTTCCCACCATGTGCCCCAGGCCTGCAGTCACGCCCCCGGATCCATTCAAATTATATGGATTGACAGATGGATCAGGCCCAGCACCCGTGACCTAATCATCCCACCCTGATCATCCCTGCATGCCCCACGAGTGTCCAGGGGACTCTCACAGCTGAGCCATACCCTGTTCAAGTGGCAGTTAAATTAACGTGAATTTCAGAGAGGGGCAGACATCCAACGAAGGCAGGTCCCACAGGAAACCAAACTGCAGGAGCCGCCCGCCCCCCCTGGCCTCTTGTCAAAACCCAGACCTGGGGCTGTCCTTGTGAAGCAGAGCAGTGGCTTCTGTCAGCCACATCTGCCTTTGTTAGGAGGTGACCTAGATTCCAAATAATTGTCAAGTGAGCGGGGATGGATTTGGGACGCTGCACTCGGTGGCTTTGCTGCGACAGCTCCGCACTGTCAGCCTCCCAGTGCAGAGAGACCCCTTGGTGGGTGTGGCTTCCCACCCTGGTGGTCCAGGATGTGTTCCTCTGCCCACAGGGGCTCGTGGGTCGTCAGGGGCATCCTCTGTGGGAACACGTCCACCTGTCTGCTGGGCGCTGTGTTCCAGGGGTGCACATCCACCCACAGGGGTGTGCTCCTGAGCCCCTTTCTTAGGTGACCATAGCCTTCAGTGACCCTGGGCGCTGCCTTTTCTTCTCTTTGTAGAATCCAAACTGCCCCAGTTCGACACCAGTGGTGAGCAGCAGCCCTCCGAGGTGAAGGAGGATCTCAAGAGGTGAGCCCGAGTGTCCTCTCAATCAGTGCTGAGCTCCCTAAAAACCTTTTCCTTGCCTGAAGCTCTGGAGGTTTGTTCTCACATATTTCATGTCATTCATGTTGAAGGACAGTCCTCTGGTGTAGGTGACACTGATCCTCATTTAAAGATGAAGAAACAACGCCTGTCATCCCAGCAGCTTGGGAGGCTGAGGCTGGAGGATCTCGGGTTCATAGCCAGCCTCAGCAAAAGCGAGGCCCTGAGCCACTCAGGGAGACCCTGTCTCTAAAGGAAATACAAAATAGGGCTGGGGGTGGGGCTCAGGGGCTGAGTGCTCCTGGGTTCAATCCCCAGTACCCCCAAAAAAATTAAGAAAGGAGCTCCAAAGGAGTATGGGGGAGTGCTGATTTTTAAAAAATGAATTCTTAAAATCCATTTTAAAAAGCCAGGACTAAGTAGTCAAGCGACTGTTCCCACGTGTGTCAGGGGTGGGTGTGTGAGAAGAAGGTAGAGGCCTGGTTCTACCTGGTGGATTGACCCCAGGGAGTCAGCCACCTGCCATCCGCACAGGCCTTACTCCTGAGGGCTGGCCGCACCTTGGACACGGACCTGTGCTCTACCTTGAGGACGTGTGGAGAAGTGCTTAAAGCCCCGGGTCCTGGAGCACAGTGATCGCCAGTTGTCACCTGGGAAAGGCGCTGCGTCTGGCAGGGCTGAGAACCCCTCTTTCACCTGGGCATTGTCATGATTCAGTCTGTTTCACACGTACCAAGCACACGGCGCAGCTTCAGTCATCCTCAATGACGCGGGTCTCTGTGTGATCAGGGGACCCAGAGCGCTGGCTGCTGCAGACTAGTGTCAGCCGGGGTAGGTCTGCCCTTCGCTGGCACAGCTGGGTTGCAATCTCACATCCACGAGTCCATCCTCCCCGACCCTAAATCACCAACCTGAACCCACCTCCTTGGTACTTTTAAACAGTTTTAAAATGTTAAAGTAAAATGTGCTCAGGAAGGATTCAGAAAATACATAAAATGGAAAAAAAAAAATCCCCACAGACTCGTTATCTCTGTGTGACCACGATTAATATCTTGGTGTCCCTTCCACGGACCTTCTTGTCTTTAGTTTAGGATTACTTCCTAAAGTCGTAAGTACTCTTCCTATTTTCACTTATTATCATAATTATTTTCTATTAGTCATACCTACTTCATAACCATTATAATTGCCAATGATTATTTATCAATTCTCAGTTTTTAGACTCAAAATATTAGTGAATCAAAGGCTGCCTTTCCCTTTGGTGCCATGGCCTGCTGGTGTATGACCTTACTGTATTAAACTTGGCCTCCATTATTAGACATTTAGGTGACTCGCTTTCTGTTTCTAGTATAATCAATAACACTTCTAAGAGCGTCGGTCACTATGACTTTCCCCTCTCTCTAGGGTTAGTTGACTAGGCAGAGTGCCCAGAGATGGGTCACAGGGTGGCCATGTGTCCAGGTGAAGGGTTAAACGTTGAGACAAAGGACAGGCTGCCCCCTATCCTGCCTGCCCGCCTGCCCCTTCCCTGGGAAGCCATGTGTCTCGGGGATTGAGTCTCTGCCCTCGCCCCACCTCCTGGCCCCTCTCCCGGGCCGCCGTGTTTCGTCGTGGCTGAGACGACAGGCGTGTGGTTTCGTGGCCCTCTCCTCTCCCGACTGGCCAGTGGCCCCAGACCCCAGTGCTGCTCAGCCAGAGGATGCAGAGCTGCCTGCCCTGTTGTGCGGTGCTGCCCCTGCATCTCCTGCCCTGTCTCCCTGGCCAGGTTCCAGCAGGAGCAGGCGTCCATCCAGGAGGAGCTGTTCCAGGTGGTGAAGAGGGAGCGCGAGGCCGCCGCCAAGCACCTCAAGGTGCCCCCGCCCCAGGACTCCTCCTGCACTGACCCCGAGAAGCCCAAGTCGGCCCAGCTGGTGAGTAGCCTTCCCAGAGGCCTCTGGGAAGCCTGGTCTGTTGGGAGCTGGTGGCTTATGCCGCCCACTGCCTGTGCCCAGTGGAAGGGTATCGGGGACCTGGCTTCCTGGGCCCGGCTGTCCCTGGTGTGCGGTGCTGCCTGTGGCGTGTTTTCATTCCCCGTGGGCCTCAGGCCTCCATGTGAAGGCCCTGGGTCACTTGACAGTGGCTCTCATCTCTGAAACTTGGCAAGCGCTGGTTGTGGGTGTGAGGACAGAGGCTTGGGGGCTGAGGGCCCCCGGAGAGGACATGGACAGATGCCTTCAGAATCCGGATCAGGGCTCAGGTGTTCACGCTGGGCCTGCCCGGAGGGGCAGAGGGGGTGTCCAGGGCTGAGCGGGTGCCTGGCAAGCATGGAGGGGGTGTTTCTGCTGCTGCTCCTGCACGTCAGACCCGCCAGAGGCCGCCAGGGTTCTGTCTGCTGCAGTAGGAGCCCTGGGTGGCCAGTTGTGACTTGCTGGTGTCATCAGGGATCAGTGCCACTCCTCCTTCTGTGCCATCTGTCCCCTGAGGGCCAGGCCATGCTCAGACTGAGTGTCCTCAGAGTCAGTAAGGGCTGCTGCCGCCTGTGGGCACAGGGCCACAGGACAGCCCTCGGCAGGAGGGAGGCTGTGCCAACCCGGACATCTCCGTCGGCAAGGACAGCTTACCCAGAGCCCTTCAGCAGAGCTCCTCCAGCCCACTGTGCTAAGGAGCGCCCCGCTGACTACAGCGTCACATTTCACATTTGCAAAAGAGGGGACGACCAGACAGAATTGGGACAGAGGGGAGGGGAGGCTGCTGCAGGATCTCAGTTGTGCCTGCTTCAGCGGCCTCGCCCTCCAGCCTCGCCAGTGTGCCACCAACTGGGCAGAGGGGAGGGGAGGGCCCCGCCCTGGGAGGGGAGCCTGCCACGCCGCCTGGGTGCGCAGCTTCGCTGTCTGGCTGGTGACAGCACGGCATCCAGAGGTGCAGGAGGCACAGAAGACATGCTGGGTTGCCTGGGCCCTCTGGGGATATGGCCAGGCCCACGGCCCTCACGACGTCTTCAGCCCAGGGGAGGAGAGGGACTGAAGTGGGAAGCTTTGACAGAGGCTGAATTGGTTATAGTCACTTCAGTGGCAGGAAAGGGGGTGCAGCTTGGGAGTGCACAGGGAGGGCAGAGCTGCCAAGGAGCCAGCGGGGGCGTCTGGCCTCGGCCTGAAAGCCGCGTGGCCCACCAGGCCTGGCAGGCACCTGGGCGGAGACCGGGACAGGACAGGGAGGGAAGAGCTGGGTTGGAAGCCAGGAGCAAACGCACGGAACAGCCCTCAGCGATTCTGGGCAGAAGATTCGCAGAAGTTTGTTGGGACGGGAGAGGCCCCTTCTGTGTTTAGAGTGGCCTCCTGCGAGGCGTCAGTGGTCGGGGGAAGCCTGGGCAGGACGGGCTGCAGAGGTTCTGTGGGTGGTGTCTGAAGCGCAGGCAGGCTGCTGTCCTCCACAGGCAGCGTGACAGCCAGGGACAGAGAACTCCTGTCCTGCAGGTGGGGGCTTCATCAGTTTGGCCCAAACAGGACGGGTCACCTAGAGAGGGAAAGTCACAGCTATGGAGCGCTCCCTTCTCACCTGGAATGTGTTAATTACAGTGGAGGGGAATTCACAGCTGGCCTCTGCCACCTGCTGAGAGAAGCTGGGCGCCACCTCCTTGGCACTGTCCCTGACAAGGAGCTCTCCTCTGACAGGTAAAGCAGGAGGACACTTGGACGACCCTGGGGGCAGCCGTGTTGGGTTTTTTTAAATGAAGGGTGACTTCATTTGACTTTACAATAAGGCACCTCCTTACTCAGTCCCGCTGCCCAGGCGTGATCTCTGGATGGATGATGCCCTTCGTTGAACAAGAGTGACGCCCTTCCACTTGATCATATTTAACTATTAGGTGGGCGTTCCCAGGTGTTTGGTTGGTTGGTTGGTTTCTGGACGGGGAATTGAACTACCACCGGGGCCCGTCCCCAGCCCTTTCTATTTTTTATTTTGAGACAGGATCTCACTAAGCACTTAGGCCCTTTAAGTGCCTGAGGCTGGCCTCCAATTTGGGATCCTCCTGCCTCGGCCTCCTGAGCCGCTGGGATGACAGATGTGCACCAGCTCGCCAGGCATATCCGACCATTCCTCATCCAGTTCTCCCCATAGTTGGGGTCTTGGCTTCCTTTGATGGCTTCCCTGTTTTCCCTTGTGTGGAGCCTGGTGGGGTTTAGATTCCAGGGCCCAGCTTCCTCTGTGGAGGCTAGATCTGGGCACAGATCCCAGGCTGAGCCAGGGTAACACCCGCCCAGGGACTCAGTTTCAAGTGAGAGCAGAGGCGGGTGCGAGGCCAGGGTGGGAGTTGTGCACGGGCTCCACCCCACAGGCTGTGAGGGGCCCTGGGTTTCCGCTTGGCCCTTTGCCCTCTTGAGTGGACCGCCAGTCCACTCTTGTGGCTGCAGTTCACTGGAGGTGATTCCCAGGGCTCGGTGCTGCGGCAGGTGGCGGGAGGCAGGGTCACATTCAGCCCTCAGGAGCAGCAGACGGGAAGCCAGGTTCTGTAGAGGCAGCCAGCTACAGTGCTGGGCGGATGCTACCGCTGCCACTTCTAAAGGGAGCGGCTCTGTTGGGTGGGTGTGGCTGGCAAGTGCTTTCAGTGGAGAGAATTCCAGATCCAAGGAGCGAGATGGAGAGGCGAACCGAGCAGCACAGACATCCCTCCTCCTCCTCTGACCTCCACACAGAGGCTGTGGGGCCCAGCAGCTGGCAGCCTGCGCACAGGGCACCAAGGGCCAGTGGTCTGCAGGTGTGAGGAGCACGGTGTGTCCTTCTGTCCTGGGCAGCCTGCCCCCTTGTGCCCCGGTGTGGCTGCTGCCAGGAGGAGCTGGCTGTCCACTGCTCCTCGGGCCTCCTCGGGCCTGTCGCCTCCTTTGCAGGAGCCCCCTTTGATTGCACGGAGTGCCGTTTGACATTTCGTGTGCCCCCAGATCCTCTCTGTTTGCCTTCGACTCTCACAATATTGATTTTGTGATCCGCTTCTGTGTGAGCGAATGGTTGACTCATTATTGGGAAAAGTTCATAAAACTAATGACAAGGAAAGGTAATAATTTTTATAACCTTCTGATGACAAAAGTGTTAACATTTCCCATCTCGCGCAGCAGTAATTAACTGGGGTGAGTGTGTGTGCGCGTGTGCGCTGCTTGTTTCCTGTTCCTTTCAGGCTGGTCCAGCCCCTGTTCTGCTCCTGGCAAAGCCCATGGGCAATCAGTGGGCCTCTGTGCTTTGTGTTTCCCTCCGAATTGGTGGAGACTGGAATCCCAATCAGACGTTCAGGGTGGACACAGCAGAGGGCAACGCAGTGTGTCGCTGTGTCGCTGTGAGTCTCTGACGCGCAGGGCTTCAGCGATCCAGTGGATAGAGTAATGAAGGCCTGGCAGAGGCTTTGCTCAGGGGGAGAGGAAGATTTACGACCTTGCCCGTTGCTCTCCTGACACGTATTATTAGGGACATAGGATCGAGTGTGCCTGACAGGAGGCAGAAACCTCCATCTCTTTTGTTTTGGGGTGAGCAGTCCCTTTGTCACCATCTGTGTGTTCTCTGGGCGCTGCTCTATGTCAGGCACCGGCTTAGTTTCCTAATAACTGGAAATAAATAAGACGCAGCCTCTGTCCTTGAGCAGATGTGATTATTAGGAGAGTGGAACATTCTCAGAAGTGCCAATATGTGGCTGAAGGTGTCGTACCTTGGGGACAGGAAGCCTAGAGCAGGACAGAGGCCACCTCCTGATTCCTCTGAAGGGAGGTGGCCTGTGAGCTGGAGGTTGAAGAGCGAGAGAAGCTTGCCAGACAGAGGATGCCCACGTGTGCCAGGGGAGGGGAGCAGAGAGGGTGTCGCAGACGGAGGGTGCCCACGTGCGAAGGCCAGATGGTGGGAGAGGACCGGGTGTTTGGCCGGAGGCGTGGGGGAACAGCGGGTATCTCACACAGGGAGCTGGAGAGGGCAGCGTGGGCATGGGCCTGGAAGGAAGGTTCTGGAAGGCTGACCGGGAGCTCAGGGAGGGGTTTTCTTGTTCTTGAAGAGATGAGAGAGCCTGTGCATGGACGGGTGGGGACACAGGGTGGCGGGCGAGCTCTTGGTCTCTGAACGCCCAGCGCTCGGAAGTCTTCAGCGGCGAATCAGGAAGCCGGGCCCCATCTTTCTGCTCAGAGAAGGGAGTTGGTGAGTCCAGCCCCGGGCGTGGCCATTGTCGTATGACCATTCCCACCCAGAGCACGGGCCCTGACCAGCTGGCAGAGGGCTTTGGGTCATTGTTGAGGTGCCTTCGTGGCTCGGGCACTCCAGGAAGCTGCCACCTTACCAGTTTGGACCCTGGAGATCGCAGTGTTAAGAAAATGCGGGATTCAAGGGGTTGGAGTTGAAGTTTTCGGAAATGATGAGAAGGTCGAGTCCAGCAGGTCATGACCTTTCTTTCTGATGTCCCCTGCCTCCATTTTGTGGTCAAGCTTGTTAGATGATAAACCCCTGGAGGGTGAGGACTGCCGTGCGGCCGCTGTGGCCTCTCTGCGGGGCTAGCAGATTTTAGCCAGGGAGTGGTCAGTGGGTGGAGATCTCGAGTGGGAGGGCGGCGCCCACAGCTCTTGGTCTTTCCTCCAGGTCCACTGCGGGCGCCCATTGCTGGTGGCTGGAAGCAGGGAGCTGTGACAGCCTCCTCTCGAGTGGATGACAGTTCAGAAGTCTGACTCTTCAGAAGTCAGTCACAGCAGAGCAAAGGCTTTGCATCTCTGAGACTCTCTGGGAGCCACTGCAAAGAGCTCCCTGCCCCTGGTCAGCCTCTCACGGGCTGCAGGGACGAGGACGGGGTCTGTCCACTCTGGAGGCCCCCGCCGGCCAGCTGGGGTGTCCTGATGTCTTGGAGGAGCTGTGTGGTATGGCTGTTTGCTGTAGGATCTTCGTGACTGGAGGACTCTGGTGGCCTGTCCTT